TTGTGGAAAGCAGGTGTATGCCTAGAAATTCTTCGAGGACTGGAGAACTAATAGAAGGACTCTCAGACCCCGAGAAAATATTCAGGGCATTGAACCGTGCCAACAAAAGACTTCAACAAACTCAACCAACGAACCAACCCGAATTTGATATGGGTGACGTGAACAACGCCAACGGAAACAACAGGAATGAGCAAGTTGACCTGGAAGTCAGGGGAGTGGCACCTTTTGTGCCAGAGGCTGCACTTTATGACTGAGCACAGCCTACAGCTGACAATCTGGCCACTGCCATAGCTGTGCCTGCAATTCAAGTGGAGACATTCCAAATCACCAACAACATGCTGCATCTGCTGCAAAATAAGGGACTGTTCTTCGGGTCAAGCATTGAAGACCAGCAACAACACTTGAAAAATTTTCTGTCAATTTGCATGACCCAAAGGCAACCCAATGTAACCCCTGAAGCTATCAAACTGCTCTTGTTCCCATTCTCAGTAACCGGGGCAGCTCAGACTTGGTTAAATTCTCTCCCTATCAACTCTATTACCACTTGGGAGGAATTAGTCAAGCAGTTTCTAAACAAGTTCTATCCGCCTAACAAGACTGCACAGCAAATTGATGCCATATTACAGTTTAGGCAGCAGTCCACGGAGTCCTTGCAGGAAACTTGGGAGAGATTTAAAGGGATGCTTGTGAAGTGTCCTCATCATGGCATTCCAGACCAGATGCTGCCAGAGATTCTACATGGGTCTAGCTGACAACTTGAAAGCAAATGTGGATGCTTCAGCTGGAGTTGCTTTCTTAAGCAAAACATTCATCGAGTGCAAAATTCTTCTCGATAAGATGTCACAAAATGCGGGGTGGATGACTAGAAGTGCAACACTGGCACCAATAGTGCATTCAGTTCCACTTGATCCCAATAATTCACAGGAAGAAAACATGGCCACACTCCTAACCCAGATGAGCTTACTGACAAAGAAGATTGATGAGATGGGTACCAAACAGGTGCACATTGTTGATACAACGAATGGAGGATTATGTACACCATGTATTAATCAGTCATATGTTTGTTCATGGAGCGGAGAAGGCGAAAACTAAGGGGTCCGGGAAGATATGAACTATGTCAACAATTATGGGGCCAGAGACAAGGAGCACAACAGTGGAGACCACCACATAATCAGCAGTACAGGCCTATATGCAGTAGCCTGGGGGTATGCACCCTCAAAATCAATTAGTGCCCGTACCTTATCAGAAACCACAGGGTTATCCACAGCAGAATCAGCAACAATTGGTTTATCAACCACCCCCTCAGCAGCAAGATAACAACATGGTGGAGATCAGGGGTATGATTCAACAACTCATTGGGACAAATAATAAAGTGCAGGAAAAATTGGCAGTACATGATTCAGCCATCAAGAATATTGAAACACAGCTGGGTCAGCTGTCCATGGCATTGAACAACCGCACTCCAGGAACTTTACCTGCAGACACGAACATAAATCCCAAGGAGCAAAACCCGAATCAGCTGATGGCAGTCAGTCTAAGGAATGGTAGAGATTTAGATCGAGAGCAGGAAATTGCACAGGCCAGCAAGAACACTACACCAGCTACTCCAGTGCCATTAGAGGAAGAACAGCCAGCGGAACTCACTGAAGTAGTGGTTGAGCAGAGTCAGGAGGGTAAAGGCAAAGAAAAGGAGACCGAGCAAGTTGCAGAACAGGTGGCACCTCTTGTGCCAGACACTCCTAACAAAGAGAAGCCAGCCAGTAGTGCCCAAAGGGTGATCCCTGCACCCTTCCCTCAGAGACTGGTCAAGCAAAAGAAGGCAGACCAATACAAAAAGTTTATGGAGATGCTGCGTCAAATCCAGTTGAATATTCCATTGATGGATGCCTTGAGGGAGATGCCCGGTTATGCTAAGATGATGAAAGATTTAATGTCAAAGAAGTTTGATTTTCAAGATCTATCCACCGTAACTCTAACACAAACCTACAGCGCAGTGGTGGCAAAACCGATAGCCCAAAAGATGTTCGATCCAGGTAGCTTCACTATTTCGTGCACCATTGGGAGTTATGCCTTTGCAAAGGCATTATGTGATTTGGGAGCCAGCATAAATTTGATGCCGCTGGCTATATACACCAAATTGGGCATCGGCAGGGCCAGGCCGACTTCGATGCTACTCCAACTGGCTGATCGCACTGTGAAAAGACCTACAGGTATTCTTGACGATGTGCTGGTGCAAGTGGGGAAGTTCGTGTTCCCTGCAGACTTTGTGATTCTGGACTGTCAGGTGGATGAGGAGATACCCCTTATTTTGGGGAGACCATTTTTAGCCACCGGGAGAGCACTGATAGATTGTGAAACTGGGGAGCTTAAAATGAGATTGAATGATGAAGAAGTCATATTCAACGTTCAACAATCAATAAGGAGACCCAGCGAATATGCAAATTGCTCTCTAGTGGAAGCAGTTGATGTAATTCTGCAAGAGGATGATAGGGCCCTGACTGTGGGGGACCCATTGGAGGCATGCTTGACAAACTTAGATGAAATGGATGGCGAGGGGTTAACTGAATGGGTAATGGCATTGGAAGGCCGAGGATTTTGGTCAAGGGAACCTCAGTTCGAGTCCCTGGAGCTGGAGAAAAGGGTCACTCCTCCAGCCAAGCCAACATAGAGGAACCACCCAAGTTGGAGCTGAAACCACTCCCAGATCATCTCAGGTATGCATTTCTAGGCACTGATTCGACTTTACCTGTTATTATATCATCCTGTCTGCTAGATGTGCAGGTAGAGCAACTTTTGGAGGTACTAAAGGATAACAAGACGGCCATTGGTTGGACCATGGCAGATATAAAGGGTATCAACCCAGCTTTCTGCATGCATAAGATTCTCCTGGAAGAAGGGCACAGACCTTCCAGGGAACACCAGCGAAGGCTGAACCCTAACATGAAAGAAGTTGTAAAGAAAGAGGTGATCAAATGGTTAGATGCGGGAATTATTTTCCCCATCTCTGATAGTAATTGGGTCAGCCCTGTCCAGGGTGTCCCGAAAAAGGGGGTATGACTGTTGTGAAAAACGACAACAATGAGTTGATCTCAACTCGTACAGTCACAGGGTGGCGAATCTACATGGATTACCGAAAATTAAACACCGCCACCCGCAAGGACCACTTTCCCTTACCCTTCACTGATCAAATATTGGACAGGCTGGCTGGTAGATCCTACTTTTGTTTCGTAGATGGATATTCGGGGCACAATCAGATTTCAATAGCCCCCGATGATAGAGTGAAAACATCCTTCACCTGTCCGTATGGCATCTTTGCCTTTCGGAGAATGCCTTTTGGGCTTTGTAATGCACCTGTGACTTTCCAACGGTGCATATTAGCCATCTTTACAGATATGGTGGAGGACATTATGAAGGTCTTTATGGATGATTTCTCTGTAGTGGGAGATTCATTCGAAGACTGTCTTCACAACTTAAGCAGAGTGCTCAAAAGATGTGTGGAGACAAACCTGGTACTAAACTGGGAGAAGTGCCATTTCATGGTACAAGAGGGGATAGTCTTAGGACATCGAGTGTCCAGAAAAGGTATTAAGGTCGACCATGCTAAGGTTGACGTGATTGCGAAGTTACCACCGCCCACTTCAGTAAAGGCGGTGAGAAGTTTCCTTGGTCACGCCGGGTTCTAACGGCGTTTCATAAAAGACTTTTCCAAAATTGCTAACCCATTATGCAAACTCCTTGAAAAGGATCAGCCCTTTGTGTTTGCTAATGATTGCAGGTTGGCATTTGAGGAACTGAAGAAGAAGTTGACCACTGCACCCATCATTGTTGCGCCCGACTGGGAGCAACCATTTGAGCTCATGTGCGATGCCAGTGACTATGCTATAGGAACAGTCTTGGGGCAGAGAAAAGACAAGCTGATGCACCCGATTTACTATGCAAGCAGAACGCTAAGCGGTGCACAGCTCAATTACACAGTGACGGAGAAGGAGATGTTGGCAGTCGTGTTTGCTTTTGACAAGTTCCGATCATATCTGTTTGGTTCCAAGGAAATTGTATATACTGACCATGCATCTCTCAGGTACCTCATTGAGAAAAAGGAGTCTAAGCCGCGCCTGATTCGTTGGGTGCTGTTGTTGCAAGAATTCGACCTCAAAATCTGTGACCGTAAGGGCACAGAAAATCAAGTCGCTGATCATCTTTCACGACTTGAAGGAGCTGAAAAATAAGTCGAGGTCGAAGAAATTCTGGAAACCTTTCCAGACGAGCAGCTGCTCGCAGCCAGTCTTGAGGATGCGCCATGGTATGCAGATTTTGCAAACTACCTGACTTGTGGTATTGTTCCTGATGACCTTTCTTCTATCCAAAAGAAAAAGTTTTTCCGTGATAGTCGCATGTATTATTGGGATGAACCTCATCTGTTTAGAATTTGCGTTGATAACATTATCCGGAGGTGTGTCCCCAAGATAGAACAATCTTCAATTTTGCAGGCTTGTCACGCTTCAGCATATGGAGTACATTTTGGAGGGGTCAGAACAACGGCGAAGGTGCTGGAGGCCGAATTTTTCTGGCCAACTATATTTAGAGATGCACACCTCTGGGTAACGGGCTGCAATGAATGCCAAAGGACGGGAAACGATTCCCGTCGCCATGAGATGCCAATAAAACCAATTCAAGAAGTAGAGGTGTTTGACGTGTGGGGGATAGACTTCATGGGTCCCTTTGTCAGCTCATTCGGTAATAAGTACATACTTGTGGCGGTGGATTATGTGTCTAAATGGGTGGAAGCTGCAGCCTTGCCGACCAATGATGCACGAGTGGTGGTCGGATTCCTGAAGAAGCACATATTCACCCGGTTTGGGATACCAAGGGCGATCATCAGTGATGGAGGCACTCACTTCTGCAATAGAGCCTTCGAGAAATTGCTGGCTAAATATGATGTGCACCACAAAGTGGCTACGCCCTACCATCCGCAGACTAGTGGGAAAGTTAAAGTGTCCAACATGGATATTAAGAGTGTATTAACGAAAACTGTGAACGCAACCCAAACGGATTGGGCAAAGAAGCTGGACGACGCACTCTGGGCCAACAGAACTGCATTCAAAACGCCAATAGGTATGTCACCATACAAGTTGGTGTTTGGAAAGGCCTGTCATCTACCTGTGCAGTTAGAAGACCGTGCTTGGTGGGCATTAAAACAATTAAACATGGATCCCGAAGCAGCCGGACAAAATCGACTAACGGAGTTGCACGAGCTAGAGGAATTTCGGTATCAAGCCTCTGAGAGCACGAGGCTTTACAAGGAACGGATGAAGAAAATTCATGATAAGCACATCATGGACAGAGACTTCAAACCCGGTGATATGGTGTTATTGTACAACTCAAGGTTGAGATTGTTTCCGGGTAAGTTGAAATCCCGATGGTCAGGGCCATTCCGAGTGGTGCAAATGTTTGCTAGTGGAGCTGTGGAGATTGAATCAAAAGACGGGACGAACAAATTCTCCGTCAATGGACAAAGGTTGAAACACTACCTTGGATCAGCTGACGAAAAAGGGGATACAGTGGTGTCACATTTCAAAGAACCCCAATACGAAAACGAGGAGTAGGAACTCCACTATTTGCATCGTGCCGCGACGTTAAATCAGGCGCTGTGTGGGAGGCAACCCACGAATTATTGTAAGTGTAATGTATAACTGTATATATATAAAAAAAAAAGTACCATAAAAACGCCTTGACCGCGGTCTCGGCGTAACCGCGGCCGGACCGCGGTCAAACAAGCCCTCTGAAGTTTTCCCACCGCGGTCCAAGCGTGGCCGCGGTAGGATCGCGGTCAAACCACCTCTCTGAACCTGGTCTACCGCGGTCCCAGCGTGACCGCGGTAGCCCAGAGACGGGCCCAGTCAGGTAAGTTTTCTGAATTTTTCAATTTTTTTATCTTTCTTTTATTTGCCCCCCCCCTCCTTCATTAACCTTTCCCCACCCCTCATTACCCACTCCAACCACACGACCCTCACCCCCCTTTCTCTCTATTCTCTCATCTTTTCCCCTTTCATCTTCTTCCTCCCAAAGCCCTAACCCCCATTCTTCACCAAATTTCTTCTTCTTCCACTCTCTCATCTCATCTACAAGGTAAGCTTTCTTCTCTTCTCTTCTCTTTTCTTCAAATAGTTAGTGTAAATTAGTTTTCCTAACCCTAGAATTTGTTGTAATGTATCAATTGTATCTTTTTCTTTGTTTTCTTTTTTTATTTGATTCTTTTAGCCATGGTTGGTGCTTGATGTTGGGTTTCATGGTGCTTAACTTGTGGGGAGGTATTTGTAGTGTTTTGGAGACCTAACAATAATTTTTAGGGCAAAGTTTGGTGGATGGGCCTATATGGCCGAAAATTTAGGATGTGTTGTAAATTTTGGAGCACTTTGTGCTCATTGTAATTGATTGTGGTGGTGGTGGTTGACATAGTTCACTGATGAAAGGTTGCGTGTGGTATTATGGGAAAATTTGACATGTTGATGGGTGTTTTGGCATTGTTGGCCAATGATAACTGTTTAGTGCCAGCGGGTGGCGAAGTCTGAGTAACCATTCGCATGGCCCAGTTTAGGATGTTTTTGGTAGTTGCCCTGTCTTGTTGCAGATATTATGGCACAAAAGAGTCACAAAGGTACTTCCCAGGGGACTACATATGATGAAACTAGGTTCCAGTCTCCGGGGGCTGAGGATGCATTCATGCGAAAGCCACAAAGACCTTCGTCCCGGAGATTGCTGTGGATAGGGTTGCCCTCCGCATGGAAAGCCCAGTCATGTATGAAGAGATACGGCGGAGGGAGATGGAATTTTTGTTTGAGGAGCCCGAAACAGCGAATCCAATGCTAGTCCGGGAATTCTATGCAAATTGCACGGAGCATTTTAGCCGAGAGGTATTTGTGCGTGGCAAGGTGGTGGATGCTTCCATTCTTAAGATTCGGCAGGTTTTGCAGTTGCCCCAATTCAGAGGTAATGTTGATCATTACCACGACGCTCATGGGGTTAATTGGGATACCTTGATTGAAGCAATTTGCCAGAATGGCCAACCAACTTGGATACAGGAAAACATCACCCTCCACTCCAAGTCCTTCACTCACGAGGCCAAGTACTGGTTCAATATCATTTGCAGCCGCTTCCTGCCCATAAGCAACTCTATCGATGTCAACCACCGAAGGGCTCTACTGGTATGGTGCTTTGTCACAAAGCGTGACTTTGATGCAGCGCGACTCATTGGTGATGAAATGATCCTTCGATCCTCGCTGCAGTCTAAGGGGTTTTATTTTCCCTCATTGGTGACTAGATTGTGTCTGCTCAAGGGTGTTCCCACTCTGCCTACTGATGGCACATTGCCCTCAAGGATACCCTTTAGAACTTCTAGGATCAACGTGGGCAGAGATGCGCCCGCGACCATAGATATTGATGATGAGGAGGAAGCCCAAGCACCAATGGCACCCTCCAGGAGGTCATATGACGGAGCTGGATCTTCCTGGCGTTCCCACACTGGAGCCGGACTCTCTAGATCACAATCCACCCGGCCTATGCTACATTCAGTGGAGGAGGAGCTCGTGGAACTTCGTACCTCGGTGGATGGCCTGCATGTGAGGATGGATGCTATGTCTCAGCGCCATGCCAGGTCTGAGAACCGCATGATGGCGTGGTTCCGTGCATTGGGACGAGCTTGTTATGTGGACCCCAGCACGGTCTCCGACTCCGAGTGATACTCAGGGAAGTCTTCTTACCCTACTGCTCTTTATTTTTGTATGACATGGGGACATGCCATGATTATAAGTGTGGGGTGGGAGACTTGTTGTTGTGATGTGTCGTATTGTACATATTAAACATGTTGTAATTTTATAACTGACTTGGCCCAACGACGGACACTTGTCGACGGGTCTCTTGAGGGTCAAAGTCGGTTGTTAAGGGGTAAAGGACTCTTCCTGAGGACGGACCACTTGGAAGTACTCTTGAGGGAAGTAGTCCATGTAGATATTTATTTTATTTTATTTTCTTTTCTCTTTTTAGGTAATGTAGTAATTCCCCCTTGGTTTTTCTTTTGACCGCGGTTCTTTTCCAAGGGCTTTTTCTTGAACCGGGTTAGGTAGACTTTTTTTAGGACTCTGAAGACTCTCTTAGATTAGTAGGGGTGAGGGCAGGAATCCACCCTTTTGATGTATACACCTGCTAACAACTAAACGAACTTGAGAGTGCGACATCTAGGCTCGTTTGTAGACTCGTAAATTATGTCTTAATTGTGCACACCTTGTCTTGCTTGAACACTCATGTGAGTGTGTTGACAAACTAATTCGGAATGAGTTTCATGCCAAGTGTGTGTGAGGAAATACCTGTATTATGTGCTTGCATGTGGTACCTAGAACTTGCCTAGTGTGTTTGCAAAGCGAAATAGAAGTTGTTTGGTCTTAGAGATGATTGAGGCATTTCTTTCTGCAGTCGGGCTAATTATGAATCCACCTGTACATATTACCATACTTAACCCCTTTGAGCTTAAAGCTTGTTTCTTTGATAACCTTGTAATAACCTACATCCATGTGTTGAATAGCTTGACTGTTTGACCCTCTGCCTCCTAGAAGCACTTGAATTGTTAAAGATCATGTAAAAGTCAATGTGTGGGGTGGGAGAGGGAGTAGAAAAAGGGAATCAGGAAAATACTGGAATGGTGCAATGGTAGTTAAAAAAAATATGTATATATTGAAATATAGAAGAAGGACCTTGCAAATAGGTGGTCCTAAAGTAGTGAATGGCAAGAAAAGCCAGTTGCACCTAGAAAAGCGGGGGTAGCTTATGAAACAAGTGTGAAAGGATGACTGGGCTGAACATGGAAATTGGAATAAAGGAAGAATGTATTAAAAGTGCTTAGGGAGGTTAGTCACTATATCCAAATATATCCTACCCGTCCCTTAGCCTACATTACAACCAAATAAAGACCTCTTGATCGTAGACTAAAACAACTCGATTAGTAGAGTATTACACTAAGGGCAAGCTTATGGTGTATCTGTGTGGCATATGAATGTTCTTTGCTGAGAGTGAGTGAATTCTTTCTATCTAAAGTTCGTTGTGCTTGATTCTATATGTGTGGAACTTCTCTCAATTTATTGATGTGAGGGCATGTGACTCAGGAAGAAACAACAAGTTTTCACCTCTGTAGAGTAACTAGAGTGAGCATGTGTGTGGCATGGCATTAGAGTCTGCATCTGAGGTGTGACAGTTGCACTGCTTAGGTTGTTCTTTCATAATGGCGGGTGTGACATAAATTGGGTAAGTCGTTGAGCGATTAGGCATAGAAGTGTGGTTTAAATTGCTCGAGGACGAGCAAAGCTTTAAGTGTGGGGTGTTGATAATAGGTGAATTGAACTATGATTAAGCCCCAAAAGAACCACTTTCTTGTAGAGTTTTTATTGTAAAAGTGATAGCAAAATGCTCTTATTAGTGCTTTTCATGTTTTTCAGGTTACATACATTAGAAGAAGGCTATGGAGTGGTTTTGTATCATTTATGGAAGAAAAAGAAGCCAATCGCATCAAAGTCGCCGAGTGAACCATTTGAAATACACAAACGAGGCCTGGAGGTGAACTGCCGCGGTCCCAGCGTGGGCGTGGTAGGACCGCGGTGAGCTGTCAGAGGAGATTCAGAGAGGCCATTTGGCCGCGGTCCCAGCGTGGGCGCTGTAGGACCGCGGCAGGCGACGGGAACTTAAGGGACTGAAGTGCAAATTCCGGAATTCTTATCCCAAAACCCTATTTAAATACTAGAACTCGCCCAAAGGAGGCATGTAACATTATTAGAGAGTACTTTGGCAAGAAAAACAAGTGTGAGAGATCACCCAAAACATCATTATTTCTATTCTTCTTTATTTTCTTGCAACTTATGATTATGAATCTTTTAGTATTTGATTTACCCATTGTCATGAGTAGCTAAAAACCTTAATCTAACGTTTTGGTGGAACCCGTTGGGAATAACTTGGTTGTTTTATCAATATAATTAGATTTTATTGTTAATATCTAATTGTTCATCTACGTTTTGATTGTGGAATAGTTGAAAGGGCCCTCGATTATCCGTTCCTATTTATTATATATCTTCTTGAGAGAGAGTGCATATTTAGGCGATTGTATGAACAACATCACTCCCGGAGTATAGACGAGAGTCATAACCGAGGGTTTAGGGGTTGGATTAGAGATAACGAAACCCCGGGTGAAATCTAAGTGAACCGTATTGTGCAAGTAGCTAGCGTAGCTTGAGAAAGTGCGTCTAGTAGATTATAAAAATTACTTGAGAAAGAATTATGATAGATGGAGAGTTCATGATTGTTAGAGGTAGCTAAATCATAGTTATAGGACATAGACAACCAAGGAAAGTACCAACGGGGGAAACCATTGCCTTAGACTTTATTTCTACTGTCTACACATCAAGTTTAGTTAATTTTCAGCTGTTAATTACTTTCAATCTTTAGTTGTTAGAAAAATCAACCATTGTGAATCAAAAAGTTTGGGAAAACAGATTGTGTGGATTTAGTAAATCTGACAGTAGTGATTGATAGGTTAGTTCCCTGTGGTTCGACTCTGGGCAATAAT